GGGGGGCAGAGAGAGGGATAGAGGGGGTAAAGAGAGCGACATTGTGAGAGAAAATAGAGAGAGAGAGAGAGAGAGAGAGAGAGAGAGAGAGAGAGAGAGAGAGAGAGAGAGAGAGAGAGAGAGAGAGAGAGAGAGAGAGAGGGGAGACGGGGGTGCTTATCTCTTAACTAAATTAACTTCAACGAGAGATCGAGAAAGTCTTATCATCTTGCTTTCCTGTCTTTGTAATTCCCACCTTCTTCCTCTTTCGATTCAGGCAAAATGGCTGCTCGACAACAAAGACAAGCTAAGGAGATTGACATAATTCTGCTTGGCAAAACTGGAAACGGAAAGAGCTCAACTGGAAACGCTATCCTGGGAAGATCTGCCTTTGCCACAAGCGAAGACGCCGAATCCGACACGATCTTCAGTCAGGCATCGTACGCCTCTTTTGAGGATGTGTGTGTCAAAGTTGTGGACTGTCCGGGATTATGTGACACACGCGTGAAGCGCTCTGTCGCCGCAGAGAAGTTTGTTAACGCAATGGGTACGGCTGTTACTCTGTGTTCAGATGGCTTCCACGCTTTGGTTCTCGTTTTAAAGTTTGGAAACCGTTATACTGAGGAAGAGGCATACACGGTTTTCATGCTCAGGAGTGTTTTCGGTCCAGATTTCATAAAGCGTTTCTGTATTCTTGTTTTCACTCACGGTGAGCAGTTTGAACTTCAAAACAGAGTCCAAAACACTTCTCGCAGTTTCATGGAGTGGATAAATAAACAGCAGGGGGGTTTGAAGAAACTCGTGGAAGAGGTTGACTATCGTTGTGTTCTTTTCTTCAACCTCACTAAAGAGAAACAGGAAGAGCAAAGACTGAGATTGTTTTCGTTGGTAGATTCACTAGGTACAGAGAACTACAGATATACTTCCGAGACGTTTTCTGCTGCCAAGAGAGAGCAAGAGCAGCTGATTGCGAAGAGAAATGCCCCAGCTATGAGACTCAAGCTCCAGAAGCAGATATCTTTAGTGCAGCAGGATATCGATATGGCTAGAACGAAAATAAGCGGAAGGAAGAACACTGCAGGCCTTGACCAAGATTTGCAATCTATACTGTTGAAACTGAGCGGGCTCAAAGGGGACATCGTTGCGATGGATAAAGGTTCCGGGGTACTTAACACTTTAGGGCTGACTGTAGTGAGTATGGAGACAACTGTGAAGAGCCAAATGGCTCTGCTGAAAGAACGGCGTGACGCTAAAGAAGCAACTCTGAATTTGGAGAAGAAACTGAGGGATGCGAACGATGCGCTCAGCAGAACAGTAGGCTTTAAGAAGGACAAGAAATTTATATCTGCTCTCGGAACTGTGGCGAAAATTTTGATGATTCCAATTCAAGCGGCACGCGATGCGGAAGATGCAATTGGAGAAGAAGAAGATCAGACAGCCGATGAAGGTTTCTACTCAGTTTGACCCATTCACTGCTTTGCCTGAGACTGCATGAATATGAATTTTGATAAGTCTATAGCAATTTTGGCAGTGACGAGGTTAAAGTTTCCTTTAGTGACGCAATTGGCTATTTGCTTGATGAACTAGCGGAAGCAAGTTTGTTGTCTAATCTGGACACGGTTCAAATTTCCTCGTTGTTCAAGAAATATTTTTATTTTATTTTATCACTCTGTCATGGCATTGTTCAAAGTGACTTCTATTAAAATTTGCTCTCTCACAGCTTTAATGATACACGCAACAACAACAGAAACTAGCACAAAAATCTTCCTTCAAACAATCCTGTACTATATAGTGCGCATGAGAAAGATTTTAGTGGGGGTGGTAGGGGGGGGGGGTTCCCAGTTTTCTTTACGTCTCCCTTTATCCCCGTGTACTAGCTGTGTGGGATTCACTTGAATGAGCAGAACACCACAGCTTGCGGTGTCAGCCTGAACCTACAGGAATATTTTCAGAGATGAAAAAAAAATTACCCTCTTGTCTCGATAACATCAAGTAATAATTAACAATACAATTTAACCTTTGACACTTTCCAGGGCGGCATTAACATTAACAGTCAAACCTGTCCAAGACGACTACTGGGGTGTGGTGGGGAGCGGTCATCTTAGACAGGTGATCATCTTGGCCGACGTCATTTTAATACAGAAAATTAAACACGGGATGGAGGGGGGGGTGTGTGAATGGTGGTCTTTTGTACAGGTAATTGTCTAGCACGGGTGGTCGTTAAAACACATTCGACAATACATTCATGTATATCATTTTGCTTTTCTTTATACCACTATTCGTTGCGTATTTTCTTGGCTTCTCCTCTGGCCAGAGTGTTCTATTATAACGATGATAATGTGTATTATAACATCCTTCCCAAGCCTCAACTAGATTTTTTTTTCTTTAAGAAAAGCGGTGGGGATGGAGGATGTCACCAGAAGACCCAAGCAAAGGATGCAAGTCCTGTTCAATCAATGGTAGACAAACACACACACATACACATACACACACACACACACACACACACACACACACACACACACACATACACACACACACTCAGAGAGAGAGACAGAGACAGAGAGAGACAGAGAGAGACAGAGAGAGAGAGAGAGAGAGAGAGAGAGAGAGAGAGAGAGAGAGAGAGAGACTTTGACTGAAATTTACTCCATTGAAATTTGCTCCCCAACAGAATTGTTCTGACTTTCCACTTTCCGCTGTTGAAATTATTATTGATTTGAGTTTTTCACCATCGAAATGACATGCGGGACAAAAAAGACGTTATTTATGACTGTAATTACTTTACATTCCTATCGACACAATCTACCAGAAATTAAAGTGTGTTTCCTTGACCCGGCCTTCTTTTTTAATGTCGGTGTTTTATTTATGTCCCCATCAACACAATCTAGATTATAATTTAGGAGGCAAGCTTCCGACCCTAGCTACTTGCCAGGGCTAAGCCGGCAGAGATGGACGCAACATCCTTAAGCAGAAAGATCATGATTCTCGATAAACATGTTCTCTCCACTCTGGGTCGAACTCCGCAAACTCTGGTTGGCAGTTTGGGATACAGCATCGCCGAAGACAGACCGGTATCTCAGAATTACAAAGTTCTCTCTGACATTTTTGGCCGTTTTGAGTTACTAAGACCATGGGGGGTCAGAAATCAATAGTTCTGTCTGCTCTGTCAAAATCGTAAAAAGCGTAAGATTATCGGAGTCGTTATCGAGATATTCAAAGAATAGCCTTCGAAAAGGTTTGACATGATGTGAAACTCAAAACCTTTGATGTCAAATTTCTCAAAACTAAGCCTACTGAGCAGATAGAATGTCAGTCTTCAGCGTGCAACAGCGAACAGTCTAACCGCTACACCGCTGATGTCAAGTTGAACGTTATTTTCAGATGCTAAAAGTACATGTAAGCGTATTTTCTAATTTGTACCTTATTTGTGTTATAATGTATTATTTAATCATAACGTTTTGCATTTAAATGAATGTAAAAGAATCATTTAAAATATTGAGGAATTCACATTTTTTCCAGAGAATACATGGAATTGAATAATCCTCATTTTTCTTCTCTCTCTCTCTCTCTCTCTCTCTCTCTCTCTCTCTCTCTCTCTCTCTCTCCCTCTCTCTCTGTCCCTCTCTTGATTGATTGTAATAAAAATTATATTTTACACAAAGTAAGATAATTTAGGAAGCAGGCGCAGGCACAGACATAACGAATTCTGCTTAAAAAAAACAAAAAAAAAAAGACTTAAGAGATGTTGTTGTTGTTATCGATCAAGCAACAGCTGGGCTCTCGCCCTTCTGCCCAATGCCATGTAGTGATAAGTGCAAGTTTGCTGCAGTTGCCGCAATGTTCCTTAGAGTATGTTGTCAATGTTAAGTCTCGGAGGAGAAAGGTAGCTCTGATGTGATTTAGGACTGTGCAGTGGAACAGGTGATGATCCACAGTCTCATAATATGCGTAGTCACACAAGGGACACATTGAGGGAAGTTCTGGATTTATTCTGTTTAAGTGAAAGTTGAGCTATATATTTTCTGTTCGTAGGCGGAAGATCGTGGTCTGTTTCTTTCTCTGTAGGTGGTTGATATTGTCATTCCGTTTTGTTGTGGTCATATGTTTGAAAACTGCTCTGCCTGTTTTTCAGAAGGCTAATCTGTTCATCCTATCGTGTTTGTTGTTTCTTTTAATGATTTGTTTTGCGGTGTTGCATGAAGTTGGAATGCTGGGTTTTCCCTGTCTGGATCCTCGTCTGGCAAGTGTGTCTGTTCTGTCATTTCCAGGTATGTTTGAGTGTCCGGGGACCCACTGCATTATCACGTTGATGCCACAGAATGTTATCAGATGATGGGAGCCAAAAAGTATATGTGTCAAATCTTGGTTTAGATGAGGGTCATTTTCTATCGCTTGCAAGACTGGTAGTGAGTGAGTGAAAATCACAATACTCTGTGCTTTTCCAGGATGAGGGTCGAAAACTGTGCGGAGATGGTACGGTGCTGTTTCAATTGCGATCATTTCTGCATCATAGTTGCTGCATTTCTCTCCAGAGGCTACAGAGATCTCATTGGAACTTCCCTGGTACTGTATTAGTATCCGGCTTTGGTTATGCCTTTGAATACCGAGCCGTCTGTGTAGACGTGTAGGCCTTGATCTATCCAGTCATCTGAATAGTTGTCGATTGTTTGATGTGATGCATGCATCAGCGTCACTGGGTCTGAAGATTCAGTGCTATGTCTCTGAGAGATGTTGTGATGAATGGATTTTTTAAAGAAAGGTGGGGAGGGATGTTTTGGTTGACTCTTTAGGTTTCTTTTCTGTTTTGTAGTAGATGGTGACTCTCCATTAGTTCTGTGATACGATAAATGGTTGACTTTTGTGGAATTCGTTTCTTTGGTTTCCTTGTTTCTATTAATTTCCTATTTGGGTGGTTGGGGCACATTCTTTTGGTTCTTTCATGTAGCTCCAAAACTGCTTTATCTCTGTGGATTCCAAGGGGTTCAACATTTTAAAAGATTTCACATGCAGGTGTAGGTGTGGATCTCATGCCACCATTTATGAAACGAAGGGCATTATTTTGGACCTTCACAAGGGTGTTGCAAGTAGTTGTATTGCACATAGAGAGTAGGCTATCGCTGTATTCCAGGGAAGATCAAACGTAACAAAGGTATAGAGCTCTCAAAGTTTGTTTGTCTGATCCCCGTGAACTGCTTGCAAGTTTTTAAAAAAAGTTGGAGCTTTTTTTTGTGTCTTATTTTTTATGTTTCCCACTTGGCTTTTCATGGTTACACTTTGGTCAAGTTTGACTCCTAGGTATGTTGGTTGTTCTTCTTTGGGGAGATTATCATTTCCTATCTTCAGTTGGAGATTTTCTTTGACTGCTTTGTAGCTCTTTGAAAAGATGGTGTATACTGTAGTCGTGCAGTCTATTTTAAGTTTCCATTTCTGACAGTAATTGTGGAACCTCTTTAGGTCTTCATTTAATTTCCCTGCTCCTACTACCGAGCTGTGATGTGTCTGCCAGAGAGCAAGATCATCAGCGAAGAGAGAGTCTTTTAATATTTCAGCACGTTCGTTACATCATTGAAGAAGATCAGGAATAAAGTGCAATTCAGACAGGAACATTGGGTTCGGCCTTCCTCGAGTACTTCTCTTGACGAGTGGGCATTGTTTACCTTGGTTTCATAATTTCGATCCGCCAAGAAGAATTTGATCCATTTATACAGTTTGCTATGTATCCCGAGGTCCATCATTTTCATGAGTAGGCCTTTTCTCCACACTCTGTCGTACGCCTGTTGGAGATCTACAAAGATGGCGACAGCGTGTTTAGTCTCCTGAAAACCGTCCTGGATGTTTTGACTTTGTTTGAAAAGCTGATCTTCTGTGTTGCTGCCTTTCCTGAAGCCTGCTTGGTGTGGGTTCAGTCTGTTAGTGTTCTCCAGGTACCAGTAGAGGCGGTTGTTTCTCATTCTTCCTCGAAGCTTACCGATGCATGATGTTAATGAGATAGGTCGGTAGCTCTTTGTTTCTCCAGGTGGCGTCTCATTTTTCAGGAGCAGAATGTTCCGGGAGATCCTTCATGCCTTTGGTATTCCACTCGTTCTCCTCGTGGTATTCATTAGGGAAAGAAGAACTTCTTTTCCTTTAGCACCAAGGTTGCAACAGCATTTCGTCGTATATTTTGTCTGGTCCTGAGGCTTTCCTTTTCTTTAGCTTTTTGAGGGCTTGACTGAGTTCCATCATTCTATAATCCTCTTCAAAAAGCGAGTCGTTCACAGTAGGGGCTTTTTCTCTATGCTTAGTCCTCGATTAGTCTGCTCACCCTTACAGAGGCGAAATATCGGTTAAAATGTTCGGCTTTCTTCTGGTCTTCAGTGATTTTGCTGCCTGAAAGGGAAAAAAAGGGTTTGGGGTTGCTTTTCTGTCTTTCTCCCGGCAGGTTGCTGACAAGGGACCAAGCCTTTGTTCCATTGTGGTGAAGGTCAAGATCTTTGCCGGTTTGAGTCCATTTCTCTTATTTTTTGTATTTTTATTATCATTTTTTTATTTTTTTTATTTTTTTGCTTTTTAAAACTGTCACTTTCACCAGAGCGCAGGTGAGTGTTTTTGGCTATTGGTGATGGTGATTTGTCCAAAGACTGTCGGGCAATAATAACAACTGATAACAACAAATAACAACTGACTACCTTAAAAAACAAGTAAAAGTAACTAAATTAGGATGTCTTTGTTGATATTTGTTGTTATTTTGTTGTTACCAGTTGTTATTTGTTGCGGGGAATTTATCTTTGTCGAGATATGTTTTGTTTTTGTAAAGTGTTTTACGGCGCTCGCAACTGCATAGGTCATATGAGCGCGCGGGACACTCCTAATATTTTCAGTTGGTAGGAAATTTTGAATTTTGCCCGGGTGGCGGCCGAAGCCTACTCTTATCGATTTTAGACCACCAAGGGATCTTTAACGTGCGCAACTTGCACACGGGCCCTCCGAGATTTTTCGCCCTTGTCCGAGAAGGCTAGGTGTAGATTAGATCTTTCCTACCAGAAGATCAGGGGTGTGGCAGAAAGACAGCAGTATGGAGAAGCCAAGGAGTAGCAGTAGAAAGGCTGCAGAAAGAGTCAGGAGCCCAGAGGAGGGGGCAAAGGAGGTGAGGGGGTGGGGGCAGAAAGTGGAATTGAAAGCAGACAACAGAACATTGCTAGAGAGCAGGAAAGGGGGTGAAAGGAGACAATTTTAGAGAAGAAAATTTTTCGGTCGCTACCCGGATTCGAACCCGGGACCTTTGAATGAGAGGCCAACACTTTAACCTCTAGGCCACGAGAGCCCCCTTTGTCGAGATAACAACAAATAACAACTGATAACAACTGATAACAACAAATACAACTGATAACAACAAATACAACTGATAACAACAAATAACAACTGATAACAAATAACAACTGATAACAACAAATACAACTGATAACAACAAATAACAACTGATAACAAATAACAACTGATAACAACAAATACAACTGATAACAACAAATAACAACTGATAACAGCAAATAACAACTGATAACACAAAAACGCTTTGATTCCAGCCTAAAAAATCAATACATATATTCATGTGGTCAACCAGGCCCCTACTTTACGTGCACAACTCCGAGCAACTACCAGAAATAGAATATTCTTTAGCGATGACCAGAGTTGGGTCCCTTTTTTTGGTTTACATTCAAATCGAAAGTAAAATCGAAAGTAACAATTTATCCAAAGAAAAACAACTAAATTAGAATGTTTGTGTTGATATTTGTTGTTATTTTGTTGTTGTCTGTTGTTATTTTTTCTTAATGGTTGTTATATTTTGTTATCAGTTGTTATCAGTTGTTATCTGTTGTTATCAGTTGTTATTTGTTATTATCTCGAAAAAGATAAATACCCCTGACTCTTTCAGCAGCCTTTCTACTGCTACTCCTTGGCTCCT